TCGTCGGGTTCCGCGTCAGCGTCCTCCTGCGGTCCCAGGCACGCACCAGATGGCTCTGCGTCCTTCCACTGCTCCACTGCGTGTCCCTTTGCCGTCTCCTCCTGAGTCCTCTCTTCCTGCTCTTGCTGACCCAGAGTCTGACTCCCTTCGTGCGGCCAGTCCTACTGTCACGCGTCTCCTGGCTATTGTTGTCACTGACCCTTCCTTTGAGTCCACTGCTGCGTCTGCCTTAGTTGCTGAGCTGGTCGACTTCGCTGCTCACTGCTGTCTAGACTACGCTGCGAGTCTTGTTGCTGAGTCTGAGTCTGTCTGTCCTCCGTCTGTCGGGGGTGAGTGTGCTCTTGGCACGGACGTCCTTGAGGACAGGCAGGAGGAGTTCCAGTGCTTTGCTGCTGCTTTACCTCATCTCGTGTCCATGCTGCTTGCCCCTGAGGGAGACCCGGATGCACCAGACATCCCGACTCCGTGCTCTTACGCGGAGGCGGTAGAGGGTCCCTACTCCTCTCAGTGGCAGACAGCCATGGATGCAGAGATGGCTTCCTGGAAGTCCACAGGCACCTACGTTGACGACGTTCCCCCACCTGGGGCGAACATCGTCAGTGGCATGTGGATTTACAGGGTGAAGCGGCCGTCGGGTTCTCCGCCTGTCTTCGAGGCGCGTTACGTGGCTCGAGGCTTCAGTCAGCGGCAGGGAGTTGACTACTTTCAGACCTTCTCTCCCACCCCGGAGATGACCACTCTTCGGGTGCTGCTGCACATAGCCGCTCAGCGCGACTACGAGCTTCACTCTCTTGACTTCAGCACTGCTTTCCTTCAGAGGAGCCTGCACGAGGAGATCTGGCTGCGCCGCCCACCTGGCTTCACTGGGTCGTTCCCTCCTGGCACCCAGTGGAGCCTCCGGCGGCCAGTCTACGGTCTCCGCCAGGCTCCCCGCGAGTGGCACGACACACTGAGGACTACGCTTGCAGCTCTTGGGTTTGCTCCTTCTACTCCTGACCCGTCGCTGTTTCTACGCACCGTAACCTCGCTGCCGCCGTTCTACATCCTCGTGTACGTCGACGACTTGGTCTTTGCTACTGCTGACACTGCTGGACTCGCCCACGTGAAGTCGGAGCTGCAGAAGAGACACACGTGCACAGACCTGGGTGAGCTGCGCAGCTATCTTGGCTTGCAAATCACCCGGGACAGAGCACGGCGCACCATTACCTTGACTCAGTCACACATGGTGCAGCAGGTCCTTCAGCGCTTCAACGTCACGTACTCCTCGCCTCAGGCCACTCCTCTGTCTACTCGCCACTCGCTCTCAGCTCTGCCTTCGGATGAGTCCGTAGAGCCGAGTGGCCCGTACCCAGAGCTTGTTGGCTGCCTCATGTACCTGATGACCTGCAGTCGAGCTGACCTGGCATACCCCCTTAGCATCCTGGCACGCTATGTTGCTCCTGGGAGACACCGACCAGAGCACATGGATGCAGCTAAGAGGGTGTTGCACTACTTGTGTAGTACGTCGGGCATGGGGCTAGTGCTTGGAGGGCGGAGTTCAGTGGTCCCCACTGGTCACGCAGACGCTTCTTGGGCTGACGACCAGGCTACGCAGCGGTCGTCACAGGGTTACACCTTCAGCCTTGGTTCCGGCTCTGTTTTGTGGCGGTCTACCCGCTCGTCTTCTGTTCTCGGCTCCAGCAGTGAGGCCGAGATCTACGCAGGGGCCATGGCTGCACAGGAGTTACGCTGGCTCACCTACCTGCTGACCGACCTGGGAGAGCCGCCTCGTTCTCCTCCAGTTCTGTACGTAGACAACAAGGCCATGCTGGCCTTGTGTCGGGAGCACAGACTGGAACACAGAACGAAGCACATTGCTCTTCGCTACTTTCTTGCTCGTGAGCTGCAGCAGCGTGGTCAGCTGCGCCTTGCTTACGTGGCCTCTCGGGCCAACACTGCTGATATCTTTACCAAGGCACTTCAGCCTTGTGATCATCAGCGCTTCTGTACGATGCTAGGTCTTGTGCCTACTTGGCCTCACTTGCTCACTTCTTGACCTTGCTTGTACTGTGATCTGTCTATACCTGCACTTGCTTGTTTACCTTTATATATATTCCTGCATGTGAACTGGCCTTGTGGCCTTGAACCTATGCTCGGACTGTGTGGTGACGTTGTGATCCACCCTGAGCTTGCTTGGTTTGCTTTGCTTGACTGATCTTGTGACCCCTAGTTCTCCCCCACTTTGCCTATGGGGGTGTGTCAGATATATATGACTTAGCCTATGTAGGCTGTAGTGGGGTAGACTCTAAGGGGTACAGGTTTCTAGGGTTTCACATTTTGTATCCAACTGTTTCCTAGTTCCCCCATTTCCTCGCTAGTTTCTTCACATAACTAACCGTTTTGCCTTTTGCAGGGATGCAGCTTGTATCAAGAACACACTAGGATTTTCGAGCTTTGAAATACAGAGTGCTTTTGTTAGGTGTAGAGATGATTCTATGTTTAAGGTTTCCGTTTACATGGGGACGTGTAAATGCACATACATGTGGACAATTGTTCAAGCATTGCTGGCTTGTAATATTAATTCAACATTAATTAACCGGACAGTACAGTGTATATGAACATTTTTAGTGAATTAGTGTATTCATGCATAACTAAATACATGGATTTTCTGTTTATTACATTTAAAGAAGTGTTACATTCATTGTTACATTCCGACACGTGGACCAATCGAAGCGACCCGCGCGAGTCGAGCGTGGCCGAACTGTGGTCAGATCGTGGTCACATCTGCCCCCGACCCGTAGGTTACCCCGTACGTCACATCGTGGGCAAGTGGTGACTTCGTATGTTACCTGGACGAGCACCCGCAGGTAACAGACTGGCAGGTTACCTCAAGGGAAGTTTAGGGTTAGCTCGAGGTAACAACAGGGGCCCCCAATTTTTGAGACGTCGGTTGCTTGAAACTGGCAGCGACGTTGCGTCAGTCACGAAGGAGATTCTGGCGAATTAGAAGCTACTCTCTGTCGTTCAAAATTCAACTTTGAGTGAGTAGCTAAAATAGTGAGCATGATTGTGGGTGGATACCTGACCCTCCTTGGGATAAGTGGCTCTCATCCTGGAGCCGCGTCTGCCTCGTGCAAACATTATTCATATATATTGAGATTTTTAGGTCTGCATAGATATATATCGCCGTGCAAGGAATTCGCGAAGAGTGTGTTAACTGAAATCTCCTCGCTGTTTCCTCCCTTGGAATCCCATCTCAGTACGCTGCTGAGATGAATCGCGGCCAGAGGAATGAATCGCTGCTGAGATGGTTCCAAGGGATGAATTTGCGAACAGAGTGTGTTAACTGAAATCTCCCCGCTGTTTCCTCCCTTGGAATCCCATCTCAGTAAGCGGGTGGTCTCAGCTGCTGTCACCCGCTTAGTCACCCAATCTTCCCAGTGCCGTCCCGCTCTCCTGGTCTCTCACCTTTTCCTTGTCATCTTGTACCTTTTCTTTCTTAAAACCAAGCAGGCAGGGAGGCGGAGGCCGTGAAAGAGCTGGGATTCGTACCTTACCTGTCCTGTTGAGCTCCCTCTGTTGCAGTCGATCCCTTGTCGGTGACGTTTCGGTGGCAAATCGACGGCTTCTTCAAGCTGACAGAGGAAGTGATCTACTCCAACACCCTTCTGCTTGGGGGGTACAGCTGGTGTGTGCTCCTGTTGGTCGCTGTTCAGGCACTTGAACTGAATCTGCACATGCACGTTGTATGTTGACAGAAGGTTACCTGCATCTCGATCATACCTTTCTTCGCTGGTCATCCTCACACTGCTGACTTTCTTGCACAAACTTCCCAACTCTCGCAGTGTTTCCTGCCTTCCCATTTCTTCCCATGCGGGTTCCATTGTTTCCTCTAGTGGAAATTGTTCTAAGACCATCCTTCCTCCCGTTTCCATCTGGCCCGCATCTGTTCGCTTCTCTGTATCTTCCCCCCTCCTTCCTCTCTCCATTCAACTACGTCTGTAATTTTCAACCAGCAGCCCAAGTTCTCCCTTCCCTTCTCAAAGCAGTGTCTGAGGTTTCAACGGGCCATTTGGTGTTAAATCAACCAACAACAATGCCCTTTCCCCCTTCATCCGTAGTCATGCCATCAGCTTCAATTCCAATCCATGTGTCTTTATGCCCTCATGGAATCGATCATCCTTTCCTCTACTTCCCCCATCCACCTCTTACCAATCGTCAGTAAAATGTCCACACATGGTTTTCCAACTACTACCCTCCTTCCTTTCTTTATCTAGGCGGCTGTTGATGAACCCGGAGGGGAGCGAGTATGCAGAGGACTTGTTGTCACTCCACTTAGAAATGACGAACGCTGCAACGCTTCAGCCTGGTTGGACCAAGCGCATGGACTCTGTGCTGTGCGTGGTCAACCAGTTTGATCCGATGAAGTCGGTGCGAAAAGATATTGGTGAACACGAAGCCAGCCAAGCCAAGGGCGAGAAAGGGATGAGGGCTGGCTGAGGTGAGTTGGGCGCTTTGTGGAAAGCGGAGAAGGGTATGAGGTATAGGGTGCATGCAGTACTCAGTGCATTTGTATGGGCCATGTCTTGGATGTCCATTGTTTGTAGGATCTGCTATATTCGAGTCACTTGTCAAATTTCTCAAACAAGGCTATAGCAAGAAAAACGGCATGATGACACCAATGCTCCCTGTGTACCACTCTGTATCTGCCAGGCTATTCCAATCCTTCACTCTTAGCTGTTGCTCTCTGCCCCGGCTGCCAGGTGGAGCTCTCTCACCCGGAATTACAGCTGCGTCTGGTGGGGATGTTTCTTGACAAGATATGCCAAATCTTGCCACATGCTCAGAAGATTGAGAACATTGATACCCAAAAGTGGACCATTTATGCTGACGAGGTGAGAACATCGTGTATAGCTGTTGTCTTCTCCAAAATGTGGCTCACATGTGTGGGGAAGGGGACACCTGAATGTGTACCATCCACTTCTCAGATAAGCTCACGTGATATCGATTGGTAAGAAAAAATGCAGCTCCGATGCGGACGCGAGGGCGGGAAAGAGGAGGGGAGGGTGGGGAAAGAGGAGGCGAGGGCAGGGGAAGAGGAGGCGAGGGCGGGGGAAGAGGAGGGGAGGGTGGGGGAAGAGGAGGGGAGGGCTGGAGAAGAGGGTGGGAGGGTGCAAGAAGGGAGAGGGAGGCGGGGGAAGAGGAAGGGAGGGCGGAAGAAGAGGAGGGGAGGGCAGGCCGGGAATTCATTCCTCTTCCCCCGCCCTCCCTTTCTCTTCTCCCGCCCTCCCTCCCTCTTCTCCCACCCTCCCCCCCTCTTCCCCCGCCCTCCCCTCCTTTTCCCCCGCCCTCCCCTCCTCTTCTCCCGCGCTCCCCTCTTTTTCCCCCGCCCTCCCCTCCTCTTCTCCCGCCCTCTCCTCCTCTCCTCTTCCCCCGCCCTCCCCTCCTTTTCCCCCACCCTCCCCTCCTCTTCCCCCGCCCTACCCTCCTCTTCTCCCGCCCTCCCCTCCTCTTCCCCCGCCCTCCCCTCCTCTTCCCCCGCCCTCCCCTCCTCTTCCCCCGCCCTCCCCTCCTCTTCCAGTGAAAAATGTAGCCTCTTTGTGTGCTTGCCTTATCGCTCGCTCCTTATCCCCCCTTCCCCCCGCGCCCACTTTAGGTACCACAGTTTGTGGCGAGCAGATGGCACAAGGCTGGCAACAAGCCAACCTTCCTCCCCTTCACCGTCTCCCCCCCTCCCCGCCCCCCCCCCCCCCCTCCACTCCTCCTCCGTCCTCCCCCCCTCTCCCCCCCCCCCCCCCCCCCCGCCCTCACTGCAGATACCACAGTTCGTGGCGGGAAGATGGCACAAGGCGGGCAGATGGCACAAGGCGGGCAGATGGCACAAGGCGGGCAGATGGCACATGGCGGGCAGATGGCACATGGCGGGCAGATGGCACAAGGCGGGCAGATGGCACAAGGCGGGCAGATGGCACATGGCGGGCAGATGGCACATGGCGCGCAGATGGCACATGGCGGGCAACAAGCCAACCTTCTCCTGTCCTGCTCACACTCTCCCCCCTTCCTCTCCCTTCTTCCCTCCCTCCCTCCCGCCCCCGCAGGTACCACAGTTTGTGGTGGACAGGTGGCACAAGGCGGGCGACATACCACAATCCCTCCTGTCCTCTTGCCTTATTGCTCTCTCCTTCTCCCCCTTTCACCTTCCCACCGCAGGTACCACAGTTCGTGGCAGACAGGTGGCACAAGGCGGGTGACAAGCCGGGGGGGGAGGCAGCAGCAGGGGGAGGGATGGCGCAGGGCGGGGAGCGGGGGCGGGGAGAGTGGGTGTGGTGGGGCACGTGCGCATGGCGTTTGGCCCGCGCACTCGCCCCCACGGAGGACAGGCCGCCACACAGGTGACTATTCAGGTGACTGTAACAAGGGGCTGTTTCCCAGGTGATTATATAGAGGGGCTACTCAGGTGACTATGAGGAGCGGCTATCCAGGTGACTGTAACGAGAGGCTGTTTCCCAGGTGACTATAATGAGGGGTTGCTACTCAGGTAGAGCAGCAGATCCTCGCATTCACAACAATCTCGATGCCCTCCCTGCTCTCGTCTTCTCTCCACTCCTTTTCCCGCTTCCCTTTCCCGCCTTCGTTCCCCTCCCCTCCCCAATCAGTTCATGGTGCGGCTGGAGGTACCTGAGGGAGCAACAGCAGAGCTCTCAGTGGGGTTCACAGCAGCGTCCCTCCTATTCCTGCTCTTCTCGCCTCTCACTCCTATTATTCCCCTACCTTCCCCCCTCCTTGCCCCTCTCGCCAGTTCATGATGCACCTCGAGGTACCTGAGGCGAGGGAGCAGAAGATATTCCTTGTACTTCTGAAACTGGTAATGCAATCGTCCCCGACCTTTGTAAGTTATGCCATGGCACCTCAAGGGGTTAAGTTGAAGACTCTTACATATAAAAATGGTACTCTTTGGCGACCAGAGTTCTTTTTACTAGTGAGGTCCCTTTTCGATTATCCAGGATGTGAAATCGTCTACTGTTTTTCTGACTCCTTGTTTCACCGACTGACTTACGGGTTTACAAACCCTGCATGTCTGTGCGGGCTTAGCTTGTGCTCCTTGCGCAATCTTCCTTGCCGCGCCTGGCTGAACCCCTCCGAGTCTTTGTACACACGTCTTCCAGAGCTGGATTGAAAAAGCCAACTCCCTGCTTCTTCCACTTCCTTCTGTTCCCTTCGCTTTACCCTCCCACCTGCTCCTGCAATCTAGGTCACGGATTAATGTGAGTTTCATCTGGAGCTGGACTTAAATGACGACATTGGCAAGTACCTGACCACAGACTTGGACAGGACCGGCCGCAATCTCTACCCGTTGCACAGGTGCGACCAGGCTTGAGCTCTGGCAGTCCCACATGTGCAGTTGTGCATAGGTGTGGTGAAGGCTGCAGGGGTGGGAGAAGGGATTTTTGGTTACAATAATAAGGTAGGGGCGTAATTATCTGCTTCAATCTTCATCTGCTCAAGGCAATGAAGGCGCAAAATCAGATATGGCACGATTGCAGTGTGGTTGGCATGGCAAACAGAACATCGAGGCTAGGGGGCGAAACCGCAAGTGTTTGTTCACTGGTCTAGGGTGATACTGGTCTTTGTTTTGTCAAATGTTATTATCGTTGTGATCAGCTCCTTTTGGCATGGGCGGGTTTGCAACGGATTTGAAATATCCAACCACAAATGTAGACCGTTTCAAGTTATGACTCATCCTTACTACCATGTCCATCACGCTGCATTCTTTCTCACTCCTGTTCTCACACACAGTGTTCTGGCCCACATCAATGAAGCTGATGATGGGCACTGCTATGCCTTGATTCGTGCGAACCTCGGATTCCAATGGTATGCTCTGCGTTCCACCAGGGCAGATGCGGAATCTCATCTTGATTCTTTTCTTTCTGGATTGGTCTTACTTTCGCTACTTTCTCACTGCTCGTTCTTTTCATGCTTCTTTGTTCTGGTTGTTTTTTCACTTCTTCCTTCCCTACGCTCCTTGCTTCTCAACCAACTGACTTATGGCTACAATTCTTGAATTCATGCTCATTCTTTGAACTGTTGTTTTGTTCATGCCACCACTCGCTCTTCCTTATTAGATACAACTTTGACAACGACGATGTAACAAAGGAGCGATTTAGAGGAGATGAGGTATGTGAGTTCACAATTGCGGTTCAAGTAGGTGGTGTTCTACATGTGGTTTTGCACAGCTTACATAAAATGCTAGTAGGTATGTGCTTCACATTACAATTGCTGCGGATGCACCAAGAGATGCTGATGCTGTGAAGCGTTTTCTGCCCATAGCAGCATATTCGAGATGCACGAGAAAAAAACGTCGCTCGTTTCAGAAATGTTACCGTGAAAATCATCCTCGAAAAAAAAAAGCGTTCTGTCTTACAACGTCTGTTTTCTCCTTGATATTGGTATTCCTCTAGCCTAACCACTTACGCGAGTATACTTAATTGCTGTCTGTTCAGCTCAATGTACACAATTCAGCCTTGAGCCCATTTCATGCTAGATGAGCAGAAAGTGTTTTGTATGTAACTTCCTCCCAACTCCCCCTTCCCATCGTTTGTTGTTGTCCCTCATTTTTTCCTCATCATTTTGGAACACGGAGGGATGAGATATGGAGTTGAGCCACATCGTGACACCCTTTCACTCGGCATTCCTCCTACTGTTTTTTTCACGCCTGCTCTCTCTCACATTCGTGCTGCCTCTCCTTGTCACAAGCCTGGTACCACTCCTTCCCGATTTCCTTCCCAAAATGAGTAGAAGGAAAGTGAGAAAGAATGGTACTAGACATGTGACAAGTAGAGTCAGCACGAATGTGAGAGAGTGGCAGCAAGCGTGAAAGAAGTAGTAAGAAGAATGCCGAATGAAGGGGTGTCACGATGCGGCCCAACTCCGTATATTCCTTCGTCGTACCCCACACCCGCGGAAGTTACAACCTTCATATGGAATGGGAATGATAGGAGTTACAATATATTCTGGCCCGTTGTCTTTTTCCCCTCTAATTAGAGAAACAATATTCCATCTAACTAAAGTCGGAACATCCCTTCTCTCTTCTTTTCTCTTTTCTTCTTCTTCCTCTCCCCTCCTCTTCCCCCACCCTCCACTCCTCTTCCCTCGCCCTCTCTCTCTCTTCTCCCGCCTCCCTCCCTCTTCTCCCGCCCTCCCTCCCTCTTCTCCCGCCCTCCCCTCCTCTTCCTCCGCCCTCCCTTCCTCTTCTCTCGCCCTCCCCTCCTCTTCCCCCGCCTCCTTTGCTCTTCCTCCGCCCTCCCCACTTCTTCCATTGCAATGTAGCCTTCTTGTGCGCTTGCCTTATCTTTCGCTCCTTCTCCCCCCTGTCCCCCACTCCGCCCACTGTAGGTACCACAGTTCGTGGCGGACAGGTGGCACAAGGCTGGTGACAAGCCCACCTGCCTCTTGTCCCCTTGCCGCATCATTCCCCCAACCCCCCCAAATCCTGCTCTGTCTTTCCTCCCCCCGCCCTCACCGCAGGTGGCAGGCAGATGGCACAAGGAGGGCGACAAGCCAGCCTCCCCAATCCCCGTGTCCCCTCTGCCCCTGTTCCGCCCTCGTACTCCACCCCCTTCCGCCCACCACAGGTACCACAGTTCGTGGCAGACAGGTGGCACATGGCAGGGCCCAAGCCAGGGGGTGAGGCAGCAGCAGGGGGAGGGGCTGCTGGGGGAGGCGCGGCGCAAGGTGCCGCCGCCACGCCTCCGCCACTAGGGGGGGGAGCGGGGGCGGGGGGAGTGGGCGTGGTGGGGCGAGTGCGCATGGCGTTTGGCCCGCGCGCTCGCTCCCAGGGCGGACAGGCCGCCACACAGGTGATTATGAGGAGCGGCTATTCAGGTGACTGTAACAAGGGGCTGTTTCCCAGGTGATTATACGGAGGAGCTACTCAGGTGACTATGAGGAGCGGCTACCCAGGTGACTGTAAAGAGAGGCTTTTTGTGATTATACGGAGGAGCTACTCAGGTGTCTGCTTTAGAATCAGCTCTTTTGATTGTCCCCATTCCACATGCCGCTGCCTCTTTGCTCTGCTTCTGGTCCGATATTGAAAACAAGTCAAAACACCCGCTGCTATCCTCTCCCATGTGTGCCCCACTTTCACCCTCTTTCTGCCCCTCACTCCGATGCACTTGTTCCACTCATGCATCACCATTCGCAGCCGTCGCTCCTCTCCCAGCCATCGCCTTTCTCCCATCCGGCAGCCTCATTGATGGCCTCCCTGCGGCTCTCCTCTCCCATGTATGGCCCCCTCAGCCTCTTCCGTATCCTCTCCTTTTCGTGCATGCTTGTTCTTCCTCCTCCCTTTGTGTGCTCTCTGTCTCCAGTTCCCTCTCTCTGCCTTACTTCTCTCTCATGCGTTGCCCACAATTGCACCTCACCCTTTCCCATCTGCATGCGCTGTCCCGCCTTTGCCATGCATATGCTGTCCATTGTTACGGGCGTTTGGCGTTTGCCATAATATATTGATCGACCAACCAGAATATGTCGATGTCCTAGACTTTTCCAACCTACGCTCCTCTTTTGCAACTGTGCTGGAATAGAAGGACATGAAGAAACACAAAAGCATGGGTCGAATCTAGAGTCTGATCTCACATTTTCATCCTCCCCCTCTCGTTCCCCACATTCCTCACTCCCACTCCCCGAACTCCTCTCTCCCACCAACTCCCTCGTCTTTTCTTGCACATTCCCTGATTCTTTCGCCCCTTGTGCAGTGTCAACCCCGGCAGCTGCCAGCTGTCGCGCTCTCATTCGTGGACCGCCACTGGAGTGGCAGCTCCCCAGGTACCGTGCGAGGCATGGCATGGGTCATGGGGGAACTCGTGACTGCGTGTGCTGCTGGTGGTGCCGAAGCGGGTAGGGGAGCAGGACAACAGACAGCAGCAGCAGCAGCAGCAGGAGTTGAGGAGGGGGGTAAGGCTGTGAGGGAGGCTCTGCTGAGGGCAGGCGCCGTGTGGGCAAAGCAGTGGAGTGCTGTGCCGGCAGAGCATGGGAACGGAGCTGCTGAGCTTTATGTATGACGTGGAAGGGACTACAGTGGGAGAGGGAGGGCTGTTCATGGTGCGAGGCATGGCATGGCTCTTGGGACAAATGGTGCCGGCGTGTGATGGTTAAGGCCATGCGGGGAGGCGTTGACGAGAGCAGGAGGTGTGTGGCCGAAGCAGCGGTATGCTGAGTCTGCAGGGAATGCGGACAGAGCTGCTGAAATATATGCTTGCAGTGGAAGGTGCTGGGGTGAAAGTTGAAACCTGTTTTTTTTAGATTATAAAGCCCATGGTGGTACGACGAACATTGAAACAAGCCGTCGCAAATATTGACACCGACGTACTGTTTTTATCTCGAGGGTGCTTCAGACGAGCAAACGCGGACGATGACAAATGTGAGCGACATGGTGAATGTGGGTGGTGTGTAAATGATTATTGGTTCCCATCAATCAAATCTACCGTAGGGCGTGGGTTCGTTTTAGCTCAACATACCCAAACATTAGCTGTTTAGAACATACATCGCATCTTACCTTAGCAGAGTGAATTCAAGTGAAAACGAACTCGACTGACACGCCCTTAGGGTTTTGTACACAAGAGAGACAGATGTGTTGCACCACGCGCCGCGTCACCCGCAAGTCTTACTGCATCATGTTACTCATGAGAGCTGTCCTCTCTCTGCACTGTTGGGTCGAGCGAGCGGCGTTGCGATGCGGCCATGCATCATGCAAGCCGTGGCGAGGTGCGGCGTAGTAACGGCGTCGCGTTGGTCCGAGACTCCCCTTGTGCGACGGTCACCAGGTCACGGTTGAGCAGGAAATAGGGAAAGAATCTGCGATGCAACTTCTTTCGCTGAGCAACTCGGGTGTAGGTACCTCGGTGGAGCCGAAAGGGAACATGGCTCTTGGGCTTGAGCACTCTGAATTACGCGGATTTTCATTCTGACATCTGTCAGGTGCCCTCGTTACGCTATGAAGTTCTTGTCGTTCATCCCCTCGTGTTTCACGCACTCCATCGCGCGAAAGTTTTCCGAGTCGTATGACGTATAGAGTCTATACTTTTTCTTACGACGAACGCTTCACTTCCGCCTCAAACTAGTCTAGCAGCATCGTGACGACTCCGATTCGCGTTCCCACAATTCCGGTTCTCCTCAGCGCAATCTATTCGAGTACTACGAGTGACCCGCCGGACTTGCGGCCCGCAGGGTTTCTACTGGCAGCGACGTTGCGTCCGTCACGGAGGGGATCCTGACAGAATAGATGTTCCGTATTCAGCATTTAAGTGAGTAGCAGTTGCTGTAAGGCCAAATTGGTGATGGTTCTTATTGTGCGCCGCATCTTCCTCGTGCATGTCCGATCATCAACGAATGTGAATAATTTCAATATACTTAGGTAAGAATCGCGAACAAGGTCTGTTCACTGTGTTTACCTCATCTCCTTGCCGATCTCTCACGAGTCTCAGTTGCGGTCACCCTCTTAGTCGCCATTCTTCCCAGTGCTATCCCTCTCCTGCCCTCATCTCATCCTTGTCAACCGTTTTCTCTCTTTGAAAGCCAAGCAGGCCGAGGTGGAGTGTGTGAAACAGCCTACTGCACGAGCTGCGGAGTGGACGCCATGGAAGGTAGGTGCGCTGGGGCATTGCAAGCTAAGTTTGGTTGCTCGACTTATTCGCGCAATTGGTTTTCGAGAGTTCTACAAGAATGCCTCGCTTTATATATTCTGATCTGAACAGTCGCCCCGTTTCATTTCATGTAGGGCTTGTGCTGACCCCGGCAGACAGGCTTGAGCCTGGAACGTCACCCACCCGCGCTTGTGCATCCTCTTCCCCCCACGTCCATCTGCTGCAGTTTATTCCTTGTCAGGGACGTTTCAGTGGCAAATTGACGGGTTTTCTGAGTTGACAGAGGCGGTGGTCTGTTCCAACACCTTCCTGCTTGGGGGCTACAGCTCATGTGTTATTGGCCGCGTTTCTTCCATTCCATGGGCATTCTCACTCCCGAGTTCTTGGCACAACCTCTAAAACCTCTCAGTGTTTCCTTGCCTTCGCATTCCTCCTCCTCATGCAAGTCCTATTGCTGGTATCCTTGCATGGAAATTCGTTTAAAAGATTGTCCCTTGTTTCCAACTAGTGTGTGGAGTTCTTGTTTCCACCTGCCATCTCTTTCCCTTTTCCGTTCATCTTACCCATTCTTCCTCTCTTCATTCAACTATCATCAAACTTTTCCAACTTGAATTCCGAATTTCCGCCTCTTTCGTTTTCAAAGCGGGTGTTGAGATTGTGATCTCCCTGTCCCCTGCACTTTCAGTCAGCACATGTGTTTGTAAATCCGCGTTCCTGCCCCCTGCACTTTTTTATTCAAGGACATCAGCTTCTATTCGATTCCACTGCCTGGGGCTGCACCCCTTCATAGGATCTCTTATTCATTCCTCTCCACTCCCACAAACCTATTTCCCTTCATCAACAAAATGTCTTAATATGTTTCTTTCTCAATAACTACCCTCCATCCTCTGTATAGGCAACTGTTGGTGCACCCGGAGGGTCGCGAGAAGTCAGAGGACTTGTCATTGTACCTTGGCGTGGCAAACGCTGCAACGCTGCCACCCGGTTAGACCAAGCGTGTGGACTACTTGTTGACCGTGGTCAACCAGTTTGACCGGACAAAGTCAGTGCGGAGAGGTATGGATGAGCGATGCAAGCAAAAACAACACAACGCTCAACCACTCTTGTTATCGACCTAAGAGTGCACCCGCGCGACCAGAGTCGTGTCAGGCCATTGGAGGTTCGACACGGCTTAACCCAATAAGTCGAACCCTACAATCTGAAGTTTTTATTGCAAACTTCAAAGAGCTTAGCAAACGGTGCTAAGCTATGTCCCTCAACACCGGCTTAAATACAAGCTCAACATAAGTTGTTGTATGCATGAGTGAAAAATGGATTGGTTACCATACGGGTGGGTGTGAACTTGGAGGGAGTATGATGAGTCTTTGCAATGTGAATATGTCTATCTGGATGATTTGAATATGTCTCACTTTGCGTGGATTATGTCCAGGCAATCTTTCACGAGCATCCTCCCTGTGCTTTTGCACCTTCTCAATTTACGTGATTTTTAGAAACGAGCCACCTGTTCAGTCCACGCGCGTCCAGCTGGGGCTGGCCTTCCATGATTCCACTCAACGACCTCTCTAAAGGCTTCCTCGTTAACGACACAATGATTTTCGAGGCGGAGGTGAAAGTGTGCGATAAATCAAAGACTCATACTGGATACGTGGGGCTTAATAACCAAGGGGGGTTGTACTGTTTGGCCCCGTTAATTCAGATGCTGTTCCACATCCCCTTCTTTCTTCCGGAAAGCCATGTATCGGTTTTTTGCTTCTGAGAGCGACCTTCATGCTGGCAGCATTCTCTTAGCGCTTCAAAGCATATTCTACAGGCTCCACTCCAGTTCACCGATTCTGGTGTTTCCACCAAGAACTTAACTAAGAGGGTTAAATGGGAGGATGGAGACTTGTCAAAGAAGCATGACCCGAGTGAGGTGTACCGGATGTTGCGTATGAAACTGGAGGCGGCACAACCTTGTGCTCCGCAGAGGCGTTGCAAGGCAGGGGCCTAAGGGGTAATAAGCACCCACCCACAATGATCACTACACATGCTTCATGCATCCTCTTTACAAGCACACCTCCTCCCCTCCCCTGCTCCCCTCCCCGTCACACCATACAGGCACACCACCTAACGCCATACCAGCGGCACGGCTCTGAGGCTGGTGGATTCGAACTTCTGCTGTGGCAGAGAAACATGGCGAGGGACCGCATGTTCTACCTTCGCCTGCACAGCCCCAGGAAGAGCATGTGCTGTGGAAGGGAGTAGGAAAGAGGAGGCAAGGTGGGGACATGAAGAGCCGATCATGTGGGTTACTGCGGTGGGGTGAGGAACATGGTAAGTGGGCGCACGTTCTCTCTGCGCCTGCACATCCCCAGAAATAGCATGCAACGTTGTGGGAGAGAAGGGGAGGGGGGGAGGGGAGGGAAGAAGCAGCAAAATGTATGGATGAGCGAGGTGTGGCATAGGAAAATGACAAGCAAACTCATGTTCTCCCTGCGCCTGCATAGTGGAGAGAGTGGGGAGGGACAGAGGGGGGAAGAAATTGGGGTGAGGAGGGGCGAAGGAGGCACAGCAGAGAGCATGGGGCATGCGCATATTGAGTGTACGCATGTTCTTCCTGAGCCTGCATTGACCTGTGGATAGTATGCCTGCTGGGGAGGGAGAAAGGGGGGACAAGTAAGGGGGTGTGGCACAGGGGGAGTGTATGGGTGGTGAAGTGCGGAAGAGGTGTGTGAACGCATGTTTTCCCAGGCACAGATCCACGAAGAGCTGCCGTGCCAACTTGTCTCAGATGGACTCCCTTATCCTCAAGCGGTTTTTGCTTTCACGGAGACGGTAGCAGCAGCAATGCGAGGGTAGGTGGCAAGCGGGTCAAGTGAGAGCATGTGCTCTCAGCGCAACATCTCACTGCTCTCAGCGCAGCACAGGACATGTGGCAGACAAGAGAAGGCGAAAGAGTGTGTGATGAGCACATTTTACATTGGTTCAGCAGCGTCGCTGGTTCCCTCCTCCACCTCCTTCTTCATGCCTCCAACTATCACATGCGCGATGGTGTCGTTGAGCAGGGATGGGGATGAGTTGGTGGGTGTGGTAGGGGGAGAGAGCGAGTGAGTGTGAGGAGATGGTGGAGGGAGTGCGGAGAGGAAAGCTTACCAACAAGCCAGCAGGGACGCCTCTCTATTCCTCCACCTCTTGTTTCATGCCTTAGGCCATCTCACGCGTGATGGTGGTGTTGAACAGGGGGGGCAATGGGGAGGAGGAGTCGGTGGGAACGGAGAGAGAGCAGGTGTGAGAGAAGGCGAAAGATGTCAGAATGTTGTATTTGTCTAGCCTGCAGTGGGGTACTCTATAGCGAGTACAGCCCAATCTAGGGTTTCCTATATGTACTCAACTGCTTGCTAGTGAACCTCCTCCTTTCTTCATTCTTACTTTGGACTGCTAGTTCTGACATGCTATCAGAGCAGGTCGATCCCCTTGGGTCGATCCTGTGGGTGGGCCCACCACCTCACTGCTTCCGCTGCTACTGCTACTCTGTGTGTTGCACGCCCCGTGGCGTGCGACGGATTTTTCATCCCGCCGCGCGCTCGGAGCGTGCGGCGGTTTTCTGCCCGCCGTGCGCCCCGAGGCGCGCGGCGGCTTTCTGCCCCGTCACTCCGCGCGTCGCTCCCGGGAGGCGCTGCGACGGGCGACGGGGACCCGCGCGTCGCCCCCCGTCGCCCGTCGCGGCCTGCGCGACCTGCGTAGGGCCCGCGCGCGGCCCGTACAGCCTGCGCGCGGCCCGTACGGGCTGCGCCAGGCCCGCGCACGGCCTGTACGGGCTGCGCCAGGCCCGCGCGCGGCCCGTACGGGCAGCGCCAGGCCCGCGCGCGGCCCGTACGGGCTGCGCCAGGCCAGGGCGCGCCTCGGGCCGCCCGCACGCGGTTCGTACGGGCTGCGCCAGGCCCGTGGGTGCCCTGTTTCCTCTTCCCCTGCGCTGCCCGCTGTCCCCCGTGCTTCTGACGGCGCCCCACCCCTGCTGCTGCCCGTTCTCCTGAATTAGGGTTTGGGGGTGGGGGGTATGGGGGTGCAGTTTCTGTGCGTCGTCCCCTGCTCCTCCTCCTCCTCCGTCTCCCAGTGCTGCAGCTGCCGCTGAGGGGGGTGGGTGTGTGGGAGCCGAAGGAGTGGTACTAGGGGGGTGACGTGCAAGTGGAGTTAGGAGTGAAGCAGTGGGTGTGTGGGGGGTGTGTGGGACAGTTGGAGGAGGTTGAGCGGAGGCTGCTGTCTTGTCGTCCGCAGCACCTGTAGTCCGGGGCGCACTGTCCTGGTAGCCCAGAGAGTCTGCTGCGCCTGTCGCCCGAGGGTCCGTTGCTCCTGTAGCTCCTCGTAGCCCGTGAGCCAATTACTCCAGTAGTCCGGGGCGCACTGTCCCGGTAGCCACTGTGCCAGCAGCTCCTGTTGCCCGTGTGTCTGCAGCTTCAGCCGCCGTCTCTCATCTTCTCTCCTCTCACAGTCCCTCCTCCTCCTCACTTGCCCGCTGTGATTACCTCTAGCTTTGCTTCTTATTGTGAACTCCTGCTATACCTGCTCATTGTGCTGATTACACCCCACTTTGGCTATGGGGGTGTGTCAGAATGTTGTATTTGTCTAGCCTGCAGTGGGGTACTCTATAGCGAGTACAGCCCAATCTAGGGTTTCCTATATGTACTCAACTGCTTGCTAGTGAACCTCCTCCTTTCTTCATTCTTACTTTCTACTGCTAGTTCTGACAAAAGAGACAGTCTGAGGGGGGGGAGGGGGGGTGAGAGTGAGTGAAAGAGAGAATGTGATAAGAGGAAAGCTTACAATCGAGTCAGCAGGGGCGCCTGTCTCCTCCACCTCTCTCTTCATGCCTTCAAACATCTCATGAGTGATGTGGCGTTGAGTAGGGAGGGCGATGAGGAAGGGGAGGTGGTAGGAGAGAGCGGGGGAGAGGCAAGGGTGGTGGAGGATTGCTGTTCGACATGGAGGTGTTGGGCGGGGGGAGATGATGGTGTGGCTGAGATGCCAGCCTCTGATGGCTACAGTGGTGTGTAAGGGAAGAAGGAAGAGCGAGGAGGGGGAGGAAAAGTGGAGTGATGAGAGAGGAGGGCGAACGTTATGAATTTTGCAGTAGCGAAAGCTGAGACCAAAGACGGGGAGCGTTTATTGACAAGAGATAGGAGGAAAGAACATAGGTTGCACAACGAGAGATAGGGTATGAAGCAGACTCTTTTGAGGGAATGCATGCTGTATGAACGATGAAGTGGATTGGTGTACTGTCTGTCAAAACATTTATAAGCTTATATGTTTCTACGTTGTGTAGGGGCTATCCCTAGAGGGTACAACTAGATTTCCTCGACACTCTTGTACCCCCTCCTCCTTACCTAATCGACATCACTTCTCCTATCCACTCTAGTCACCTAGTCTAGACTAGATTCTAACATGGTATTATGAGCAGGTCCTATAGGACCTATTTTTTTTCTAAGGGCCCACCGTTAGCTTATATCCTGCCCGTTCGTTCTGCCCTGCCCCACGAAATCACGACCGTCTGTTCACTGGTGCCACCCTGCCTAGCGCGATTTCGTGGCCTAATCTATGCGAGACCCGTACGCGCCCTATTCGCGCCACCTGCACGCACGCACGTGCCCCGCCCGCGCCGCCCGCACGCGTGCTGCCTGAGCCCTATGCGCGCTCGACCCGCACGCTGCCTGCACGGCCCACACTCGGCCCTGCGCCCGGCCTGCGCCCTGCTCGCGCACACCCACGCGCACACCCACGCGCACCCTGCCTGCGCCCTACTCGTCCGCGCTGCTGAGCGCTACTGCTGTCACTTACGTGGCTGCTACTGCTGCATGCGCTGCTGCTGATACTAAGCGCTGCTGCTGCTGCTAAGAGCGCTACTGCTACTGCTGCTGCTCCACGCGCTACTGCAGCTACGCTCTGCCCTGCCGAGCCCCTACCCGCCAGGGCTGCTGCTGCTGTGCAACTGCTGCCTGCGCTGCTGCTGCCACCTGTGCTACTGCTGCTGCGCTGCTGCTGCCGCCTCAGCTGCTGCTGCCGGCTGCTGCTAAGCGCTGCTGCTGCTGCTGCTGCTACCTGCTGCTGATGCTGAGCGCTGCTGCTGCAAGTGTTCCTGCTGCTGCGCCCGAGCTGCTGCTGCGCTGTGCCCTGCCGAGCAGCGCTGCCTTGCTCGAGCCGCGCTGTCGTGCCCCTACTGAGCTGCACTGCCGTGCTGCTACTGCTGCTGCTACTGCTACTGCTACTGCATCTGCTACACCTGCTGCTACTGCTGCTGCTGCTACTGCTCCTACTGCTGCTACTGTTACTATGGCTACAGTCTCAGTTCTTAGTTTCGACGCTGAGGGTCGCGCGATTACCTTTGACATTTGGCTCGATGACCTCCAGCTGTTCCTGCAGAGCGAGGCTATGGATGGCATTCCACTGTTCGCACATACCAACGGATCCCTCCCAGCCCCACCTGACATAGAGACAGCAGATCATTCAAAGTGGCTCATTTATGACGCTACTGCCCGCCTTGTTGTCCGCAACCACCTTCCTGTCGCTGAACGAGCGCATTTTAGCCAGCAGAAAACAGCCAAGGCCCTCTATGACGCTGTAGTCGCTCGCTACTCCTCCCCAGCTACTGCTGCCCTAGGCCGTCTCATGCTGCCATACCTGCATCCCGTACTAGCCGATTTCCACACTGTCTCTGACCTCGTTATCCACCTCTGCTCTAGTGAGGCTCGCTACCGCGCCGCTCTCATGCCGACCTTTCTCGATGCGAACCCCCCCCCCCGCTTTACATCACCCTGTACTTCCTCGTCACCCGTCTCTCTGACTCCCTTCGCACTGTCAGGGACCAGTTCCTAGCCCTTGACCCCATTGAGCTCACGCTTGACTCGCTCGAGAAGTCCCTTCTCGAGGCTGAGAAGAGCACTGTCGCTGTCGCTGTTCTCGCGGCACTCCCCGCTCCCCCTTCTTTGAAGGGTGTGCTCCCTCCCCTCTCCTCCCCTCAGTTGCTACTGCTGCTGCTGTCGACCTCCTTGGTGCTGGGGAAGTTGGCGCTGCGTCTGCTCATAGTGGAAGGTGCAACAACAGCAAGGGCAAAGGGGGTAAGGGTGGTGGGGGTGGCAACATCGGTGGAGGTGGCGGCGGTGGT